CGGCAGGAAGCAAGAGGATCCACCCAAAGTTCACCCCCTCAAAGTCCTGTGTCAAACGAAAGAGGAATGCCGACGTATTCTGCGACGGACCTCGCGTCTCAAAGGGGAGCTGTATTACGTACTACGTGATCTTTCTCCAGAGGATCGGCTAAAAATGAAAAAGGTTGTTGAGGAGCTACGAACACACCGAGGAACTAGTGAAACTGACCTCCATATCGTGGATTTTTGCGTGTTTCGGAAGACCCTGAGAGCCCGTTGGGGACCCGTTCCCCTTATCCCGGGACAATAAGGCACATAAATGGACTACGCGTGTTAACCGCCAATGTGCGCAGTCTAAGGAACAAATTGGATGAGATTCAGTTGATTGCCTTAGAGGCCCGTCCAGACCTGATTGCCTTCACTGAAACTTGGCTATTCACCGACATCACGGATTCAGAGGTTTCTATCCCCGGTTACCAACTCCCGATCCGATCGACGAGGAGGGAGGTCCCGGCGGTTGCGTAATGGTCAAAATGCACGTAGTTGAAGCGATCAGTGACAAAGACGAGGAGTTTGATGCCCTCTGGTGTCGTGCTCATGATTGACGGTGTTCTCTCACATTTGGTGTCGTCTACAGAGCGCCTTCAGGATCTGGAGCCTGTTTGATGGACTCCATCAGGAGGCATGGCGCACGAAAGGATTGTCTTGTCGTTGGGGATTTCAATGCTCCTTCTGTTGACTGGAATCTGCTTCTTTGTGACCGACCTAAGGAGTCCTTCGAGGCCAACTTACTGGAGACCACTCTTCATTGTAATTTACTCCAACATGTCACTACGCCAACTCGTATTCCTCCAGATCAGACGCCGCATATCCTGAGCCTCGTGCTCTCCCCAGCACAATCAGACATCACGAACCTTTAAGTTCTACAGCCCATTGGCAGCAGTGATCACTGTACTGTCTCATTCCAGTGGACAAGTCACTTCGCTGTTCACAGCCAACGTACCGACCGTCGGAATTTCTGGCGTGCCGATACACTTCGTCTGAAAACAGCCACAAGCGTTGTCGATTGGAGTATCCCTGAACACCTCAATGTTGACGAAGCGTGGAATCATTTGTACTCCAAGCTGGCGTTACTCATTGAACAGGCCATCCCCTTCTTCAAAAGGAGACCCCTCTCAAGAGGCCCTCCATGGATCGATCACGAATTGAGATCAATGATGAAAAGAAGGCGTAAACTATGGGATCATTACAGAATTACGCGATTTGAGCTTGACTACTGCTACTACAAAATGGCCATGAATGCTTGCAACATGAAAAAACGCGAGAAACGCCAAAAATACGAGTTGTCATTAGCTGTACTTTCTAGTACAAACTCCAAGGCGCTCTTCTCATACCTCAAACGAAGCACCGAAGCTGGCAGTGGTGTCCCTGCCTTGTCTCCCTATGAGCATTTGGACCTAGTCTACGAAGACGTTGAGACAGCTAGCTTTTTGGCCCAGCAATATTCCTCTGTCTACTCGACCTAAACGCCACTCCCAAATAGCGTTACACCCACTCCTCCTTCCCTGTTGGAGCACGCGAATGTTAACACTGACGTTGTAATGAAACTTCTTCTTGACCTAGACCCGTATTCCTCGCCTGGTCCGGATGCTTTACACCCATTGTTCCTTAAGACCGTGGCTGGGCACATTGCCGCTCCTGTCTGTCAAATTTTCCGTCTTTCCCTTGAGGTCAGGCGGTTTCCAACTGTTTGGAAGGTGGGAATCGTTAAACCTATTTACAAAGGTGGGAACCGACAGAATCCAGCCAGCTATCGTCCCATCTGTCTGACTTCGATTTTGTGCAAAGTCATGGAACGGATTCTGAAGCGGGCCCTTCGCCTTCATCTCGATGAGTTGGAGTTCCTCTCTCATGCCCAACATGGTTTCCGAAGGGCGCGTTCATGCGCCACAAATTTGCTGGTGGCTAGGGAAAGATGGGCAAGATCCTTAGATGCCGGTAAGCGTCTGGATGCTGTGTTTGTTGATTTCAGTAAGGTTTTTGACAAGGTTCCGCATGAGCGGCTCCTCTTCAAACTCCGTGGAATCGGCGTCATTGGCAATTTTCTTCCTTGGGTCTCCGATTTCCTGGACGGTCGCATCATGCAGGTTAAAGTTAACGAAGCGCTTTCTGATCAAGTGCTCATGACCGGTGGGGTCCCACAGGGTTCTGTACTCGGCCCCGAACTCTTCAATATATTTATCAACGACCTGCCATCCTAACTGCAGACCGATTGTTTAATCTACGCGGATGATCTGAAGCTGTGGATTGAGGTATCCAGTCTGGAAGATACAGACAGACTTCAAGCGACACTCGATCTGCTCCACGATTGGTCACTAAAGTGACAGTTGCCGTGACAAATCCGCTGTCCTTCCAATCGGTGCTCCAGAGCCTTTTGGGGCTCACCATATCGGGAGTTTCTCGCTCCGAAATGTCAACCAAGAGAGGGATCTCGGGGGTGATTGTGTCTCCTGATCTCAAATCAATGGAGGACACCAGGAAGAGGGTCGCATCCGCCTACAGAATAATTCACGCTATACAGAGAGCCTTTTCACGCCTGACTCCAGCACTCTTACTGTTTGCTTCGCATGTGCGCCCAGTTCTCGAGTACGGATTGCCTGCTGCGTATCCTCTCACAAAGTCCGAACGTGACATGATCGAGAAGGTTCAACGGCGTGGATCCAAATCCTTTCCAGAGTTGTGGGACTTATCCCCTACGGGTTTAACGGTTGAACCTGTTCCCTTTGGATTATCGTCGTCGCCGCGGAGATCTGATATTCACTCGGTGTATTCTACTAGGTGAGTTGGGGAGTGAGCTGCAATCGTTCTTTCCTCTCAACACAAGGTGTGCAACTCGAGGCCACCGGTGGAAACTTTTCAAACCGCGGCGACTCCATGTTCGGTCCGATCTGGCCCTATCCACCCGGGTAGTGAATGAGTGGAACAGCTTGCCAAAGGCTGTCGTCGATGCGGAGACAGAGGAATGTTTCAAACGACTGTTGGATACCCATTCTCTGCGTGCGTAGGGATTCTGCTGCCCACAATACAACCATAGCGATCTTCTGCGGAACTTTGTTCCGCAATGATCTCAGCAACCCTCGCAACGTTTGGGAAATGACGGAGCTGATAAAGGAACTTCCTTCTGCTCTCTACCAACCAATGAACCAATGAACGTGCCTTTCACCCATATTGCACATTGATTGTAATGGCGATACAGCGACGAAACTTAGCGTTTTAACGTTCGTCATATTGGAAGACGCTGCAGTGTTTTGTCCTAGTTTGTGCTCGCTACAAAAGCGCTGAGGAAGTGGAGGATGTGGTGCATAATAATGAGTTCGCCATGTCATGCAGTTTTTTCAAGTATTCCGATTCAAGTATTCGCCACATCCTCGTGCGCCATTTGATTGCGCTTGAGCAACAATCTATGTTACAATTTCAGGTCAGGTACAACGGACGATAGAGGCTCTCGCCTAACGAGCGTCCAGTTTCTTGTGCCGGTAAGTGAAGCGGCCCTCGGCATTTCGACGTTGAGTTGACTCTTACTTCTGCAAAGGAATGAAGCAAGAACAAGAGCAATCTTGGCACTTTCATGTGTCAGCATCCAAAGACACAATTACAATATCTCTGGGAATAGGTCAGACCAACACTTATCTAAGCCCTACCACATACACCCTAGCTTTTCATTTTCCGGTGCCTTATTTTTAGTCTTAAGATTTAGCAACCTTCTAATAAACATTTTTATAGCTTATTTCATTGTGTTTTGCCCCATGCCTTTGTTTGGCCATTCAAATATGAGTATCGGATATAGTGTTAGACCAACGCGCTATACCCTAACCAAACATTCAGGGTCAAGGCTCCTACACCTTGTGTGGACAACGTACCGTCACAAACAGCTGGCTATCGTGCAAAGATAACGCGCTTACTGGTAATTTTTCCGGTTGTTCCCAGTTTTAATCCCGTTTTGCACCCTGTTTTTGCTTTTTTATTGCGGTCGTTTTACTGTCCTTTTTCCAGAGATATTATAAATGTATTGGAATATGTCTTTTTGACGCTGACACATGAAACTGCCAAGATTTCTCTTGTTCTTGCTTCATTCCTTTGCAGAAGCAAGAAGAGTCAACTCAACGTCGAAGTGCCGGGGGCCGCTTCACTTAACGGCACAAGAAACTGGACGCTCGTTAGGCGAGAGCCTCTGTCGTCCGTTCTACCTGACCTGACCTGAGGCGTCATTATTCCGCTGTTTTCCTCACGAACATGGCTGTCTCGCTAAACACCAAGACGGATGGAGCCCTGGGGTCTTCGTATGATGAATCTAGTGCAGTTTGCGGATAGCCTACCTGTTCAGTGCCAGTAACTGATTTATCTAGCGATATGCAGCATGACGTTTCCTGCCTCTGGTAGCACGAAAGTTGTACCGACCTACAAGCAGACCAATACAAAATGCTATCATCCGGCGTGCACTTCCTTTTCAGTTGCGCTGAATGCTGCACTCAGAGATCGACGCGCCCGGCTATCACCGGTGCTTAACTAGCAGTCCTGGCGTCAAGGTTGGCGGCTGTTAGGAAGGCAATAGCTGAGCTCGCCTCTATTGCCTCGCTCAATGCCATAATGGATTTAATTTTGCAATCCCTGAATATTGCGATTGAGGACACTGCAGTAGACTGCAACATTGCTGACGGTCCATCCGCTGTGGTCTGTCACTCGGCCAAAGAGTCGCACAGGCTACCAGACACTCCAGGTAGAATTGACGACTCTCCTCAAGAGCATGTCAGAATAAAGAAAAATAGGGTTCCGAAATACCATAAGCCCTCTACTAAACCCTGAAATTTATTTGCCACGGCATCAAGAAAGGTGCAGTCTTCGTCAGTCGCAAGGTCATCTGACCTTTGTGAACAGGTTAACATTCCGAATTTGTTAACCGTCTCGGCTGCCACTAAAGCAGCCCGTTCTGACGACGTGTTAATAACTGCCCATTGCGACACAAAGTCAACGGCCCCTGCTCCCTTGAGCCAAAAGAAGAAGCGGACTAGATCTGCCCGTAAAACTTCGAAGGGGCTTGGAGACCCAGCAAATAGTAAGACGCTGGCAATAGAGCGCAAAACCTACGCTACCGTTGCTTCGAAGTCGGTTACGGAGACAGCGCCGGTCCCACCGTCAGTGATGTACACACCTGATGTTAGTGTCGAATTCAAGGTACGTGGGGTAAACACCCCGTCGTGGTGACTCTTTCACGGATAGTAGCGTTATATTCTGTAACGTTACTGAATCTGCGGCTGCTCTCCAAATGAAACGCATTTTGGATGACACCAAGTGGCTCAAACTGTGCATCACCATGCTGCTTCCACCTGGCTTCCCTGGTGTCACTGTCAGAAAGCCTACCAGATTGGGGAACGACCCTAACGGTACGCGAAATCCGCGACACCGGCTACTTCGCGTGGTCTTTTCTACCCCGGAGGAACGCAAATCATTCCTTCGGTTTGCATTCAAACTTAATGATAGTGATGTCAGCGTTCAGCCGGACCTTTAACTGGCAGATAGATTGAAGTTAATGGAGACTATCAAAGACCTTAAAATTAGACGGCCGGTTAGTGAGCAAAGCCTCCGTCTGGTGGGTTTCCGTCGCAACGAGACTAGACCTTAACGTGGTGCGACGGTTTGCGTACCTCATTGAGCCATTGAGCTATACTGGGTGATGCCTCCGGGCACCTTGAGAGCTACTCCTACAAGGTTGGTCAATGGTGAGAGGTCAGGCAAACTCAGTCTCCTGGTCATACAGGTTGGGACTGTGAAATGGGATGGCGTCCATTTCTGTAAAACTAACTCATTGCCAGCTCCCCACTGCCTTGCGGACCGGCTTTTGAGCCAAAGGCTTTGGATGAGGACCCTAATCGTCCTCCTGTCTAGGTCTGGACGCCCTGGCAGTATCTCAGCCCACATACAACCATGGCTTTTTCTTCAAACAAAAACTTCATCCTGCATCGGCCGTCGCGCAGATTATCAAGGGTCGCCTTATCTGTTGCATACAACAGGGCACATAAGCGAAAACAGCTACTGCTGGCGCCTCCCTTCTTTCTTTTCCACCTTTTCCTCTTACTCCCATCCCGACCCCCATTACTAACCTTCCTTCTATAATTCCCACCTTAATTGACAGCAACCGAAGTGCCACTGGAGTAGAACCATCTGCAGCCACCATCCCACAGCACCTATCGGACGCCTATCGGCAATAGTCCCTTATAAGGCCACGCTATCACATTTCCATGGCGACATTCAACGTTCGCACTCTGAGACAAACAGGTCGACAGGCTGCACTCGCACACACCCTGGACACACTGGGTATTGATGTGTGTTGTGTGTCCGAAACCAGGATCAATGACCCTAATGAGGTTGCTGAATTGACTGCACCCGGCTTATCCTCTCGTTATTGGTTACACGCATCCGGAGATACCGATGCAACACTCACGGGTCAAGCAGGTGTAGGTATCATTCTAAGCTCCAAGGCTGTGCCATCGTTGGTTGATTGAATTCCGGTGAAAAGCCGTTTATGTGCAGCCCGTCTGACGACATCAGCTAAGGTTGATTCAAGAAGTAGTAAAAAACGCTGTTTGTTCGTGACTTCCGCTTATGCTCCCACCGACTGCAGTTCCAATGCTGTCAAGGACATTCTATCACGAACTGAACGCGCTACTACGCAGTGCTACTAGTTCAGATATTATAGTACTCGCAGGGGATATGAACGCACAAGTAGGGCGTCTGAGCTCTTCAGAAGCTCAGCTGGGTGGTAACTTGGGACTTAACCCCGAACGGACTGACAACGGTGAGCGTCTGTTGCAACTGTGTGCAGAGCACCAGTTGTTTCTTAGTAGCACTGCTTTTAGACACAGTGGGCGCCGAAGTGCCACTTGGCATTCTCCTGTAGCTGGCCAGCGATGTACCCAAATTGACCACATAGCCATGAGTTACAGGTAGCGTGGTTCTATCCTGGATTGCCGCTCATACTGGAGTACCTGTATCGACTCTGATCATGCCTTGGTACGCCATGATTTCTCCATGAACTTGACCGGGAGGCGCACCAAGTGTCCCCTACGATTGGCAACTGAGAAATTGTCTCAGTCCTCCGTCAGGCAAGCCTATCAAGAAGCACTGTATACCGAACTTCCGCTGTCTTGTCCTAATGACACTGAGCTTCAGTAGAATAGGATCTCGGCCGCCATGCACGACGCAGGAGCATCTGCTTGTGGCACTATCCATCGTCACCGCACCAGTCACTGGATATCCGAGAGGTCGGTGAACCTGTTGGAATCTAGAAGCAACCTCCCGGATGGGTCAGCACAAGCTGACCACACGGACCAACAAGTGCGAACTAAAGAGGAGCCTGCGTGCTGACAAAGTAGCCTGGTGAACCAGTAGGGCTTAAGAAATGGAGGAGGCAGGAGCAGTAGGCAATTACCGCAAGCTCTTCCAGCTAATCCGCACCACTTAACCCAGAAAAGCAGGCGTCAGTGAGACAATCAGAGAAAGCGCGGATGCGCTGCTACACAATAAGGAGCGCCGTATGGCTCGTTGGGCAGAACACTTTCAAAAACAGTTCAACTGGCCCCCCTGCTCCCGGACCTCTTCCTACTCAGGTGACGCAGGACGAGCCATGGACGGTTAGTTTAGAGCCTCCGTCGGTGACCGAGGTCCGAAACGCGATCACAGCCCTCAATCGTTTTCTTGCCGCCGGCCCGGATTCCCTCTCACCTGCACTATTTAAGGATGGAGGTGAGGTCCTCTACAAAGCACTGACCTCCTTATTCGAATGTATATGGAA